CCTTTCAGGCAGGCATTCCCCTCTGAGTGTTCATGATTTTAAATACATCACTTTCTGCAATATAGATTGGTGGAACCATCTGCAGCCTGTAAGGAGAGCACTAAGGGAAGGCAGCTGATGGCTCTGAAAAAGGAGAGGGTGTGTAGGAAACAAAAGTTGGGAACAAGGAATTACAAACAGGGGGTCCTTAAAAATGACATGTTGGGTTTGTGGGGACTTAGGGCAGTGAAGGAGAGGTGACATTTACAGCAGAGTTGGGTGCCACATCCCCATGTTCCCTGGCCATGTGTGAGTTGTTCCATCCCATGGCCCCAGCGACTTCCAGCATTTAATCCAGCAGGGAATGAGCATTTTAGGGAAAAAAAGAGGGTTCCTCTGGATCAACTCTAATGACATGTAATGACTCTTCACCAGGGCATGTATCTCCTCCTGATAAAAGCTAATCTTACATGGCCAGCAGCTATAATTTTAGAATTACAAACCTTCTGCCACAATGCTGCTGTGAAATAAAATAGGTAAGATAACAAAACTGCACGTGGGTGTCAAAAAGATTTAAAAAACAAGAGAGGAAAGGAGAGCAGCCAATGGAGATCAAAAGATAAGGATCCCAGAGGAAGGAAGGAAATTCTGCATGTTCACTGCAAAATTTTCTGAGGCGCAAATTTGTATTAAAAAAACAGTATAAATCTTCTTGTGTTGTTTCCAGAGAAGATCATGTGATATTTTTATGTCCTACAATGAATAACCACTGTGTGGAAGTCCTAACATGTAAATATTGTTATGACAGTGCATTTACTTATTTACCAAGGTAATCATATTTTATGTCTTACAAACATGAATGAAAACAGACTTCTAAATGTAAGAAAAGAGCATTCAAAATTGAACAGTATCAGGAGAAAGGGAAATTCTGAGAATCCTTGTTCTGGTGAGCTTTTTTATATTTTCTTTTTTTCCCTGGAGAGTACAAGAAAAAACAAATCAGGGAATTACAAAATTGAGTTTGTGAGGATGCTGAAGTCATAACACATTGTGTTATAACTGGAACAGACAGAGGCTGCCCACAGCATTTATCTCTAAACAATTTTACTGTGATTCCACCGAGAAAACCTGCACTCATTTCATGTGGGACACTAGACTTACCATCATGTCCTAATGATTTAATAATTACTTTTCAAAATCTCAAACGTGGGCTGTTAGATGGGAGTCTGTTTGTAAGTGCCTGAATAATTCATCTTGTGTTGCACATTACCTACAGACAAAATTTTCTTGTAAGCTAAAAAATCGTTTTTCATGACAAGAATAATGTGGTAATCTTGTTTCATCTTGTACTGTCCAGTTGCTCTAATATTGAAGTTGTGTTAAAGTCAATATATTTCTAGTGTGATCTGTCTTTCAAGAATTTGTGAAATTCCTTCTGGTCTGGTGAGTGTGACTGTGCCTCTTTATTTGTGGTTATGCAGAACAGAATTTAATGGCATTATTTTGGTCAGGAATGCTTCTGTTCCCAGGCCTGCCAAGGATTTATAAAAGTTGTAGTAGAGGCTCTCTTTATAGTTTCTTTACTTTTCTAAGGCTGTTTTTTTTTTTGTTTTTTGTTTGTTTGTTTGTTTTGTGTTTTTGTTTTGTTTTGTTTGGTTTTTTTTTTTGTGGCCCTTTTATCTCTTTCAGTGGTACTGCCTGAAGTTATTAATTGAGTTTCCTACCTCAATGTTCCACTTTTCAGGTCACTGGGATGTGTCATAGAAACAGGCCCATTAGGATGAATGATGTGTGTTGTAATTTCATCAGCATCATCAATAATTTATTGCAGTTTTCTGTTTAGGAGTCTCTTTTTTGTTTGGTGGGGGTCAGGCTGACTGTGTGAATTTTATTCATAAGATAAAATAGTTAAAGATGAAGGTAGATATTTAAGCAATTAGGTCAGAGGCTGGAGTTGTTGTTTCAGAGGTGTAGGCTACAAAACCAATTTGTGTTAAGGAATGTTTAAGTAATTGAATTTCACAGTGTAAATTAAAGTCTCTTGCTATCATTCTGCATGTTGTGGGCACATGGTGATACCTTGTGCCAATGAAATGGCTGGGGTTTGTTTTTCAGTCCGTGTGTAATCTTTAATGAAAACACTTTCCTGACTTGTAAAGGCTTGGAAGTAATAAACTGAACTGACCATTTTTTTCATTTGATGAAGCTTCAGCAGAGATAAGAAGTAAACTTGTATAAATTGACTCTCATGAACATGCATAAAGAGAGAAATCATTTTGTGCAACAAAGGGGTGGCATGGCTTGCCAAGCAAAGATAAGTAATTGGAAAATACAAGATCCCAGTGAGAACTCATAGCAGAAAAGTTGAAAAAAAAAAGGTGCTTTATTATGTTACTTATTAGTATTTGCATGCATAAAAATATAAATTAGGTTCTGCTGTACTATGTCATCAGCTATTCTGAAGTCATATTACTATTTCAGAAGTTAAGATATTATTTTAAAATTATGACAGTAGACTGCTTGTCTCATTCATCAAACAACTAAGCTCTCATCAGACAATAATTTGCCCTGCATTCAGGTGGGGTGGGATAACAATTCTTGTTTTTACTTGGATCACATGCCTGTGTATTTACTGGGGAACCACCAGTAAATACAGTGATTCCAAAATCACATCAGTAGATTTAAACTGTGTTAACACCCTTGCATATCAGGGTAAATGTTCTTTTTTAGCTTATGTGCCTTGTTTAGGGCCCCTTTGATGATGGGACATGAGGTCTGTTCCTGTTCACCGCAAACATTGTCTCAGCAGTCCCAAATGTTCCAATGTTCAGACCATCCTCTCTTTAGAGTTGATTCTGGCACTGAGTCAGTGTTGCTCTGCTGATGGTTGCTGATAAGTTGACCTAAAGGAATAGAGGGATCCTAACACAGATCAGGCAACAGTGTTGTAGGCATTTGGAGTAGAATTCCAGCTCAGTCAAACTCTCCCAGCCACCAGCAAACAGATCTCTCCTGAGGGTAGAAAGAAATGTGATTAGCAGTGTCCTTGCTGTTGGAGGTGTTTGAGGGGCTGTGAGCAGCCTTCTTTCTCCCTGTGAACTCCAGGAACTACAGAGGAGAGTTCTTCAAAAGCCTGGCTCTGCTTGCACTGATCTCAGCAGGAGTCCCTGAACTGAGGGAGCAAACTCAATCCCTCCTTTGAAAAATGCAGTATTTCCCATAGCACAGCCTATCCTTAGAAACAGACCAAGCAAGAATTTATCTGGCTCTCAACATACACAGTTTTATTTACTGTGTCACAGAGGCTGCTTTGGGACAGTCTTGAGTCACCTTTGAGTATGAGCTGCACCACAGACAAGGAGCAGTAGCATCAGCTCCAGCTAAGGGGATGGTTCTGAGGCTGTTCAGTGCAAGCTGAGGATGCTGTTGCCACATCTGTTTCTGCCTTCTTGATGGGGCTTTCTGTCCCCACTGAGCTCTTCTTGCTCATACTCCTCACCTGTTTCTGTCTAAATGGTCTGTGGCAGTGATGACCTATTGTTTAAACTGTCCTGCTGCTGCAGTGTTGGATTCCAACCCTTTCCCTTCTCTGTTTAAATCTCTAATGCATTGCACTGCAGACCCCTTGAACTGTCTGGATGTATTGCTGTCAGGGGATGAAAAACTCATCATTCCCTCTGCACACTGCCGGCTTTGGGTGTATACCCAATATTGGGGGGTAAAAACAGAGACTGAAAAATTGCCTCGTGAGGACAGAAGTTACGTTATATCTTGGAAAAAAATGACCTCTCATTCAAAACATTTTTTAAAGGTGGAAACATGGCAAAAGATTGTGGATGTTCTGTGGTGTCATTTATTGGTCTGCTTTGTTACCTTTCCCCCAGGCAGAGTTGCACTTAGGTGATTCATAGAATAAGATGCACTTCTGTGTTCATCTGTCTTCTGTAAATAAACTTGGCAGTTTTATTACTAATTTGGAGTTGCCATTTGGCCTGTTCTGTCATGCCATTAGGTTGCTAACAAAGTGTGGGAGCTGTCCTGTTTCTTGCTGTGTTCTCCACACAGCTTCTCCCTGCCCTGAACACCTGTCCTGTATTTAAGGAGAAGGTCCTGCACCAAATTACTGTAGCTTTCCTGTTTCAAATTTCCTTCACTTCTGTTTGCAATCAAAGGAGCTCCTGGGTGGAGGTTTATGATGTTTATGTGCTCTTCTAATTAGTATAATGATTACACCTGGTTTTGGATAACATTTATAGCCTGCTTCAAAGAGCCCCATTAAAATCACTGACTAGCTTTGAATTCTGAGCCTTCCCCACCTCATACAAATTACATTTCCAAGGGATCACACAATACTCTTGCATCTGTTTTTCTACAAACCATTAAAAGTTTTTGCAGATATTACTGGAAAACACAGTTTTTGTTTCACAAGGGTTTAGCTGTGTGTGCTGTTTCTTTCCTCTAGTGTGGGACATTAAAGGTGGGTTACTCTTGTTCTGAAACCACAAAGGATTATTGATGAAATAAAGTCTCTGCTGAAGGCAAGGAGAGTTTTACCATTGGCATCAATGCAGCTGGAATTTCACCTCTGAAGAGTGAAATAAATAATGTGAGCAGATAGGAAAAACAAAAACAAACCTATGCAGAGTATTCACAGCAGTAACCACTCTTTTTAGAGGGGAATAAATGGAATTCATCTGAGACACAAAATCATTCATGAGGGGTGTGATAGGTCTAGGCTTATGCTTTTGAATAAAAATTTGAATGGTCAGAGAGGAATGTGAGACTTCTTTGATGGATTTAGTAACTGCTCCAATGTAAGTACATGTAGTTCAGTGAATAAATTCAGTTTATAGAGGCATAATAAATATGCATTTGTTTCTCAATCTGCCATGGGTCAGCTTTACTGTGCATAAAATGTATCATCTGTAAGCTGTGGCTGATACTTGCAGGGTTTCTTGATGGCATCTGATGGATTCTTTTTGAGTAAAAATTTTACCATTCTCTGCATTGTTCTCTTTCAGAAATATTCTTTACAGACTGGATGACAGGACCAGCCAGTTTTCAGTGCTGCTGGAGGCACTGGAGCACTGCAAACTACATCAGTCAAATGAGACTGTTCAGGCAGCTTTGTCAGAGGTGCTGAACAGCATCAATTCAGCTCAGGTTTACTTCAAAGCGGGACTTGATGTGTTTGAGACTGCCTTAGCTGGAAAGAAATGAGAGGATTCTCTGCATTCTAAGACGTTTGTTTACAACTCTCTAAACAGAAGTTCAACTTGGACCAGAATTGTTCTGAGGATCAAACCTTTCTCAGCCTTCAGCTGGCGCTTAAAGGTACTGCTACACATGGTTTAAGAAATGTAAAACAGTATTTTGCACTGTTCACAATATATCTCAAATGCCTGTTCCTGAATGTATAAAACCTAAAGAGAAGGGAGTAACACTTCAGAGATGATTTTTGGAAGGACATCTGCTGTACTTTTGTATGTGAAATGTGTTTTTATGACTGAGAGCTCAATCATGCGAAGTACCAAGCACGTCCTGCGATGTGCTGAAGCCCTGGTTCTGAGACACCCCACATGTGCAGCCAGGGGAGATTTCCTCTGTCAGAAAAACCTGACTCAAGTTTCTAAATGTTTTCAGCAAGCTCATCTTCTTCCTTACTCCATTCAGAGTAAGGAAGGATGTGGTGTTTCCATGGGTATCCAACACCGGAGTGGAAATGCACAGAACACCTTCAAGGGTGCAATCCAACACCTTTACTCCTGTGGAACAATAAATACCTCAGTTCTGAGAATACAGATAAACTTCGATTCTTCCATTTCTGTATGAAAATAAAGAGTTGTTTTCTCTGATGTTTCTTGGAGAGGAAATTTTTGTGATGATTTCAAATTATTTGAAAAGTGTGAATCGGTAATTACACTTGCACAAAAATACTTTGAATGTTTATGTTAAATGAAAGAACTGCCTAGTCTTTATAAGGCTAGAGGCCTCAAAAATTTTCACCAAACATTACCAAAAAATCCCACTTCAAGGTCTCTAAACTTCCAGAGAGCTGTAAATAAAAGCATGGCCTCCAAGTCTTGGGAAAAATTTTGGGATTCCATCACTCTTGGCCACACCACCAATCCATCCAGGCTGGATTGTTCCATCAGGCCTCACATTTAGGACCTGGGTCATTGTCAGAAAAGCACAAGGCAAACATACATCCATTCCGTGCTGTAGAACCAGGAATTCAAGTGTGGAGGCACAAGCTGGTGAAGCACATGGCAGAGCTAAAATGCAAATCTGCTTTTCCATTGGTAGAAGGCTCTAATGACACCATTGCCTGTTGGCCAAAGTAATCTGTGTGTGAAAGGATCAGGAGGTTCAGTGTCCTCTGAGGGGATGCTATACCCATTTGAGAACTGCAGGTCTTAATAATATAAACAGTTGAAATTGTTAAGCCCTATTTGGGCTTTACAGTCTCAAATTATTCTAGGTTCAGAGCTTAAATAATTAATTTTATATAGATACTTAGAATTTAAATATAATTTATTTAATGGAAATATTAAATGTATTGTTATCCAGTTTGCCATGTAAACATTACAAGAACATTTCAGGTTGGAATAAAAATGGAAAAAGTGTCTGTATTAATGTTTAAAAATTGCCTTCAGGAAAATTTCTGTGCACAATTTGGTGAATTTTTTTTTAAAGTTCACATAGCAAGAAATGAGCTGTTTACAGATCTGGGTTTCTGTTTCTAAAGTCCTTACAAAGGGGTCTCTCCACGCAATGGCCCAGGACTGGGTACACACAGCTGTGCTGTTGTTAAATTTCTTCATAAGTTATGATTGAGCAGAGGCAGAGCTGTTGTACAGCAGCCTCTGCAGTGGGAATTCGTATTTTTTCAGCACCAGTCAGTGGGTCTGCCTAGACTCAGACATCATTATCTCCTGGCTTTCCTTGCCATCTGAACAGCAAAGCTGATGATGATCTTTGCAGAGAGAATTTGACTTCTGGAGAGTAATATTGTTTATGATGCAGGTTCACCCCTTGTCTGCGTCGTTTTTATTATTATAAGATTTAAGTGGTTGGAATATTTGAATTTGAATTGTATGTTTATTTTGGGGAGTTGGGAATGTACTGTGCATGTTACAATTGAATTGCATTTGTGACAGGGACCACTCTTCTGACAGCTCATTAAGTGACTTAATTTCTTTGGAGTGCTGCCTCACTGTGGAATTTTTGATGGGATTCAGTGATAAAGGGTCAGGTTAGGAGACCAAAAGAGAGGTTAACACCTTTGGTAACTCTGCCAAGTGAATCTAATAATTCTACCATTTAATAACTGCTTCCTCATCCTTACAATGTTCCACCAAACCCACCTCTAATGCAACCAAAGTGTACTCAGCAAAATCAGTGAAATCTGGTGGAAGCAATATCTCTCATGGGTGATTTCTCAACCCTGTAATTCCAAAATAAAATATTTATCTTGTTTTCTCACTAATGTCCTCCTGTAGCCACTTCTAAACTAACAGACTTAAAAGTGCTCTGCTGGAAAAGCACTGCTGTTGTAAATGTCTGTCTATTCTAGACACAATCAGATGTTCTTGTTGGTAAGATGAATCAGATGAGCTATTTAGGGACTTAAATGCATTGATTTTAATGTCATCTCACACTTGTAGATCTTTTGAAGGCTTTTATTTCAATGTTCAGATCTTACATATAAGTGAATGCTCAATGATAATATTTGTACCATTATAGCTTTGGAAAAAAAACACTTTTGAGCCATATCCTTCCATTGATTTTCAAATCCTGTCTATTGACTTCAAGGAATTTACAGCAAGTTAAGGTCCTAAGTATCCAGTGAGCTTCTAACATAGAGTTTTTGCCCAAACAGCTGTGAAACGTCAGCTAAAGGAAGGTGTTAGTAAATCATAGCAGCTTACCCAGATTGACTTAATTCCTGTGTTGTACTGGAATAAACAGAGCACCCTTAAAGGCGGAATACATTTGTAAATTGCCTGAATGATACTAAAAATGTGTTAGCTTTTCAGCAGCATCAACTGCCAGAGACAGTATAACAAAAGCATTGATTGCTCCTTAATCTAGAGTCATGCTCACAGTGACCAGAAAATCCCTGCAGCCTGCAATATTTGTATGTTGAGACAGTTGATAATAAAAAGCCAATAAGGTTTTATTAGTATGTATTTTAAAGAGTCCATAAAAAAGCTAAAGCACAATCAAGGCAGATGAATAAAAAGTACATGGGAGCTGGGTTTTGAGTACTAACCTTAAAAAAGGCAGTGAATTGTTTTTATCATCCAAGAAAAATAGTAGCTGTGTTAATATGCAAACACACAAATGCCTTATATCTTCAGAAGGTTGTGCAAACATTAATTTGCTTGCAGTGATATGATACATCAAGATAAACATGTAAATAATTGCATGAGAAAAATAGCAAGCTCTTTGCACTGCCTCCCTTCCCTTTTAGGAAAGTATTTCAGTCTATAGACGTGAAAGGAGGCACTGCAGCTGACCTCAGTTCTTGCAGCAGTAGGTGGGGAGAGGTTAAATCTCAGGTATTGCAGAAGGAACCACTGGAGGTCATTTATTCCAACCTCCCTGCTCAAACAGGGTCACCTAAAAACAGCCTCCCAGGAGGGGCAGTGCTCAGGTTACTGCTGAATAACTCCAGGGATGGAGATTCCTCAACCTTTCTGGGCAATCTGTGCCACCCTCACAGAGAAAGTGTTTCATTATTCCATAGAAACAGTTCCTCCAAAATTCTCACTGTATTTCTGAGTTGCTACATTCGTGTAATCATTTTCATTCAAACATTCAAAAGGTAGCCATCATTTCATCTAGCAAAAACTCTCAGACACCATTTCTAGGATTTCACAGGTATAATAATACATGTTGGAAATTTTGTATAAGATTTGTCCTTCAAGCCATAAATTATTTTTTTAAGCCATAGAAACTAATGTCTTTATCTTTTGAGGTCTTTTGTACAGTCCCTGGTCCCCAGTCACAGGATTTCTCTATACTTGAGGAGGTTGTCACCTCATCAGCACACATGTGGCTATAAATGCATCTACTGTACCCAGACTTTGGGGTCTCACTGTGCTTGTGTTGAGTGGAAAGGAAGGCAAGATAATTACATGACTCATTCTGGCTTTCAAAGCTGATAAATGCTATAGAAGTGTCTGGTCTGTGTTCTCCAAGGGGCAGTTCAGATTTCCCTGGCAGGCCCTGTGCTGGGAGCAGGGATCTGTGGCACTCAGAAGTGGCACCTCTGTGTGGCTGTCCCAGCAAACCAGCTCAGTGTGGGAGATGTTCTTCCCCTTTGCCATTCAGTAACATTTCAGCAGTGTCACACCATCCCAGAAGAGTGGGTGATAGGAAAAACAATCTCATTTCAACATGCCTGGGACCTGAGTTTGGAAAACAGTTTGCCTTGTACTATTAGAGTTCAAAACAATGTAAGGCGTTGTGTTTTGGAGCTCTGAATCTACACAATTTGAGACAGGGTTTCCAGTAACACAAGTAAATGTCTGAAATACAGAATACAAATATAATTGTGGTCTATTACATGTTACTATAATGTTAAAAATTACTTGGATAACAAGTAACCCTCTGGCTGTTTTTTCTCCTTCTAACACCATCTTCTCCAATCCCCTGCATTCATCTTCTCTCACATCTCTTTTGCAATGTGATGATTTTTCCCATCCCTCACCACCTTTTTCTCAGCCACTCCCACTAGTTTTCTGTGTCCATTCTGCTTCCTTATCACTTCTTGAGCTCCCCTTTAATTCATCAACCACCTCCCCAAGTTAATCCCCCTTTTTTCTCTCTCTGATCTCAGTCATGCCTTTTGTTCCCCATTCAGTTCTCAACTCACCTCCCTCAAGTTTCAATTATTATTTCTGGAACAGCTGACCATAATAAAGAGCTGAAAGTGGTGGAAAAGTCCTGCTCAGATCCGATGGATAAAGTGTAAGGAGACATCATCTGTTAAATTCAAAGTATTCACTTCTGAGTACATGTAAGCAGCAGGTTTTCAGTTATAGCTTGACTGAATGGAAACAGCCTTTTTTTTCCTATCTTCTTTCTCTCTAATGTCTGGACCAGGAAATTCCCTCAAAAGTAGCAGTGTAGAAAGGTGATAATCTTGAAAGTTTTGAAATAAACCTTTGAAGTTTATTTGAATTCAATCCTGAAGTTGGATGAATAAGAAATTATAGACAAAGAATCAGAATTGGTACTACCTGTTCTACAAAATAAAACAGGCAATATCTAAGCACAGAAATTCTCTGATCTTGCCAGGAGCCACCCAGCATTCTCTCCATGTTGGCTAAATACCAAACTTCTGTGTGTAATTCTGCTGTCCTACATTGTTTTACATTGTTAAGGATGGCAAGGACTAAAGGCACATGCACAAACCTGTACTTGAACGTGCACATTTGAGCCTAGGAAGTGCCTAAGAATAATGAATACTCATTTGGGAAACAAAGGCTTTTAAAATATCTAAATTAGACTGCATGTTTACTAAAAATATGGTGCTGTTAAGCCTTTGTTTTTTCCTAATTATAATCCCACTGCTGCTGGTTATTTCTACTCTTGCTCATACAGACTTGTCATAACTGGAGAAAATGCACACCTGCATGGATTTGCAAAAGAGATGATGTTGCACCTCAGTCTTACTGACCTTACTGGACTGTTTTTTCCAACAGAGTTGACTTCACCATAATAACTTACCAGGGTACTATTCCACAGAACCAAGGTTAGAAGAATTTGGCCACTATTCATGGAATTTCCCACAAGATTTGGTATCAGAAGATCAATTATTTCAGTTTAGTCTATTTTTTTTAATCTCTCAACATAGATTAATTCAAGCAAGAATGTATTTCTTTTTTTTTAATGGGGAGGAGTCTCTTGGTAAGCGTTAAGTAAGCCCACAGGGCAGAATATGAATGTGTATGTACAAATGATACAATCTAAAATTAACTTTGTACCTATTATGAATGTTGGATTAACGCAGACATACTTTTATAAATTTCACAGGTTGGAATTAATACAAGGGCTTAATTTAAGAAATTTAATCAGAATAAAGGTGTGGAACAACAGTTTTGCTGTGTAAATGTATTGTGTGCTTCCTCATCTGCCTAATCCATTTGGCTAAAAAAAAATATGGTTTTATCTAAGCTGCTTCTCTTTGATTTATTTTCCAGCAAGCCTTTGGAAATGAAGTCTTGGTCTTTCTTTTAAATGTGTGCTGCCTTTAATGTTTATGGAACACTTCTCAAGTGTTCAGACAGTGTAACACCACCTCATCTGGATTACTTGATAGGATTGAGTGGAATTTCAAAGCATGGTCTTTGGAAGAAAGTCCTTTCCTGAATGTTACTATATATGCTGTTATATACTAGAGTGGCTGCCTTTACCATGCAGAGCTGTAGGTGTGCCATGTGATGCTTTGCAGCACTAAGTGAAGAGAATTTTTATTTTTTCAGTCGTTTTCAGTCAAGGCCTGTTAATTTTCTGCCACTTGAGGCTGTACTCCCCTGACCATGCTGGTGACAGAGCAGTGCAATACCCAGGGCTCTTAGCACAGGAACGTGGTATGTTGAGGGTTTGTCTGAGCTCTCAGTGCATTTCCAATTTTTAATTAATGTCCCTCGTAGCCCCACTTTGTTCTTGTGCAGCTCAGTTCTGATAGCAGTGTGAGTGACCCCAAGAAGAGGTGGACAGGTCTGACTTTCTGGTGAACTTGCTACAGAAACTGCTGATGCCTCTATCCTTAAAAAGGTAAATAAAATACTTCCCAAATATTTGGTGTTTTCAGCCTGTACACTGAGGATTCTGATATAGTTTTGGATACTGCTTGTTTTTTTTTGGTGCAGTCTTATTTCTTGTTCTCAGCAGCTGAAACTTCTTGTATGAATCCACTAGAGGGGAAATAAGAAAATCCTTAATATTTTATACTTAGAGCAAATAAGATGAACACAAATTCCCTGTGTTTTCCATTTGCAGTTCACATGACTTAATATGCAACATACTCTTATCACACATGCTGTGATTTGGAATTCTGAGACAAATAGGAAATGAATGTGATTCCCTATCCAGAGGAACTGTATTAAATTCAGGGAACGTTTCACATCCAAGCATCTTCACTGCAGTGTGAGCAAGCACAGGTTAAGACACTTGAAACAGATACTTTTGGGGGTTTTAGCAAGGTATGGAAAATAATATTCTTGTGTGTAAGGGCAGATTTTAGCATTGCATTCATACCCAGGTGTGTGGTAATGTATTGTGAGTCCTCATTGCTGTACCTGTGAGATTAATGCTCAGGCGCTGTTATCAGTGTCCGTACTGGTCTCAACACAAACTGGTTTTCTTTTAGTCAGTAGCACCTTGCAGAGTTTACCTACTCAGATGGAATATGCAAGTATTTCTGCCTTTTGTATGCAGAAGAGCAGCTGTCAAGTTGTGTTACCTTTATCAAGCCTTGACACAGAATTTGAGATGCCTGAGTGACGACTCTGTCATTCCATCTACTTCTGCATTTTCACGTAGTAAAATCACGTTGCCAAAAATGATAGCTAGTCAATGCAGAATATTAAGTAACTACTTATTTTTTTTTTCACAATGAAATAATAGAAACTTGATGCAGTGATTTCTGGAAACCAATAAATATCATGTTCTGTGGAAATGTGCAATGAAAGGTTGATTTTTATAACACTTTATAGAATGTTGAGTCTGAATAAAACAGCTTATTTGCAAAATTAGTTTACTTTGTATCAATTTGTATTTTTATAACATAGTGCAATAAAAAGAGAATGTTGGCCATTAATGTAAGTAGATTCTACATACTTTGATTAAGAAGCACATTTTATTTGTTTGTGCTCTGAATATGATTTTTGGAGTTTGTGAGAGTGTTTGTACAGAAGGCACTGTGGGCTGGAATTCAATAAGAGGCATTTTGTGAAAGCAGAGTGAATTAGACAATGTCTTTTTGCATACTTATACTGTTGCCAGAAATTAAACTGGAATATGAAGATGTGTATAATGTACATTGCACTGAATGGCTTAGAATTATATTCATTTGCTTTTTTGTTTGCTTTTCTTTCTTATTTATAATTGGTTCTGCCAGTAAGCTGTAGCATATGCCTCTCAAGCTGCTGATGCAGTAATGGAGATCCCAGGGCATTAAAGCATAATGGGAAGAAAGAAAAAGGCAAGGAAGGAAAAAAATTAAAAAATAGCTAAACAGAACCTCAGAAGCAGGGATGTGATGAAGAAGCTGGGATGAAATATGTAATACTGAAATGTGTAATCAGAAATGAGCTGGTATATTCCAGACTGGAATAGGGCATCCAGAGAAACAAGGACAAAAAAAAAAAAAAAAAGAAGATTGCCATCTGCATCTACCCCAAACATGTTGACATTTCTAACACTAATTCTGTGTTTTTCCTCTGAATAATAAAAGACCTCAGTGCAGGAATTCGCAGGGGTGGATTTGTCTCCAGCTGGGGTGACAGGCAGGTGTTTCTCAGCGTGGGACTGTGTATGAAAGATGGTCAAATTATGTGAGTAAGTTTCCACATATGTCATGTGTCACTGCTTTTCCTGAAGTGAAAGATCACTGCTTTAACTGAAATGAGGAAGCAGAACTATGCTGGGAGACCTTGATGTGCAGGTGTTACTTATACAGTGAGTGTGAAAAATTAGAGAATACCCCCACGCATGAAGTTCACTTTTTCAAATTCTAGGAGGATGACCCTCTAATGAGCACTGACTGAGTTCACTTTCAGGACTGTGCCATTCATAAAGCACTTGTCATGCTCTCCTAGCACAACATAATCAGGGCCCTGTGAGTGAGCAATAGGCTTGTACTCATAGCAAGGAAATTTATTATCCTGTAGGTAAAATGACAACTTCATTATCATTCACTATTATAAAATAGCAGGGAGAGTAGCAGTTGAAATAAAAAGGCATCTTTTAAAAGAATTCTTTTTACTGTAAGAAAATCCAATACATAAATTCGTGTCATGTAACATTTTTATTAATTTATGAAGAATTTAACTTGATGTTCCATGGCACACTTCACTGATACTTCATTCTTGGATTTAGTGGTAACAATTTGCAGTGACTGGTTGCAATATTGTGGGTTTTTTTCAAACCTGCTTTGTACCTCCTAACTGTGCAATTTTGGATTGGCAGAATTCTGCCTCACTTACTTTGCTGGCCATCCAAGGAATTGGTTCTAGGCTGTGCAATTTGATGCAGCTTTGTAAACTGGCTGCAGGTACTTAGTCCTGGTCACAATGCAAGGCAAAATATTTGACAGATGATTCATTTCTCATGTGTTTTGCTCCTATTTGCATGAAGCCTTCACCATCCATGTGCCATTACCAACTGGTCAGGATAAGACAAACTCTTTCTTGTCAGAATGATTCTATTTACCCAACTTTTCTGTCATCTATTAGCATTTCTGAGAAAAAAGCTTTTTCAGAATACATTAATTTGCTTCACATTGCATGTGCTGATGCCTGTCACTTCAAAATTTTATAATAAATGAAAATAAATTACTGACCATGAGGGGTAACTCACTAAGTAGACATAGAACAGGTGACCCTGGTGGTGGTTAGATTGTCCTCCCCAGTACTGGGAGTGTTGGAATTACTAGTGGTAACTGGGAAGGAGAGCTAAGTACATTGGGAAAGAGAAACCACAAACCATCAGATTTACAGGGCAAGAATGGGAGCAGCAGGAAGTTGAGAGGGCTAATGGAACTTTTTTGTTTGTTTGTTTGTTTCCATCATAATATTTTAGTAAGTTTTTAAAATTGCTTTTCTGCACCAGTTTTCTTTGCAGAGAGTTATGGCCAGGCCTCAGCCAACACTCCAGGGATCTCCAGTCCAGCCCATGTAAGGAACTATTTCCAAGTTTGTAATTACTTTAATAAAATCTCTTAAGAGGGGGCACTGGCTACTGCTGCAAGGCAATCCTTTTTGGAGAAACTCATGTCAGAGAAGGTGTTTGTCATTCCAATACTATTAGGAATCAATAATGAGTAATCAATATAATGAGGGCTAAGGCAGAAAGTTGTTCTGAACCCATAAGTAAATTTATGAGGGGAAAACTCATTCTTGTAAATTTTACATGAAAATAAATTGCTGTGTTGCCTGATTGCCCTGGGGGCTCTCAGCTGGTCAGTGTCACAGCAGCCTTATGACCTTGACAGGTTTTCTATTTTCCTCTCCCTTTGTTAAGGCAAAGGGAGATTGCTAAGAAAGGGAAATGCAGGGATGGTTGGGGGTTCCTGCAGTCCAGCAGAGAACTCTTGACTGCTGGACTCTCTCTTATGCCTTTGTCAAAGACAGAGATTTTTTGCCAAGACAGATTTCTCTAGTCAGAGAACAGTTATATACTGGAGGGGTTTTGTGGGGTTTTTTTTCCAAGAGGATGTAAAAAGACTTAAGAATTCTCTCCCTGACCAATTGTATGACACTTTGGATAAATCTTTATATGCAATAATACTCAAGGACCTAAGTAATACATCATATTTGATCTGACCCTGCATAAATCATTTATTCATGATATATCATTCATAACTTGATTCATTGACTCATCTTTAGACAAGACAAGGTCAGTAGAAAAAAATGATTAAGCTTTTTGCCTGCAGGAGGAAGAAGCTTAAACAACAAATTCATCTTCACATCTGACCTCATGAAACTTGACAGTGAAGATTTTAAAAATAGAAGCAGACTTAAAAAGCCAAGTTTTACCCCCAATTACACTAGTTTAAAGTCACAGTCACTCCACTTGCAATAGAGCAAATGGGAAAAGGCTCTACAAGGCAGCAGAATCACTCTGGAGTTTGTACCATCAATTTAACTCTGAAAGAGGGCACTTGGATTTCTAAAGTTGAAAATCATGTGCCTGAATATTTTAATGGATCAAAGATGGCAAGTCAGACTCTGTACCCATTCATATGGGTAAATCTGGTAAGATGGCATAAAATTTCAGAGCAGTCAGAGCCCCCTGGCAGGCTGGACCACACAGATTCCTTGATTTACAGTTAGTTAATGTTTTTGCCTCTGTTACCATTGGAATTTCCTTT